GCTCGGGGAGGGGGCGGCTGCCCCCCCCCGCTGTGCTCTGGGGTCGGGGGAGCTGGCGGAACCCCGCAACCCCCAGCCATGCCCCAGCCCACCCTGTGCGACCACCCCGGGGGTGCGGGAAGGATCCCAGCGGAACCGGTGGCAGCTCCCGGCACCTGCCGGTGTCACACCGTGCAAAGGACAAGGATCAATCGCTGTGGTGGGGGCGCGGAGCTGGTCCCCACCGGCTGCCCGGCCCCTGCTCTGAGTGTCTCCTTTCTTCTCACTTCTGCGCCCCGCCATTAGCCACGCTCCCGCAGCCGGGGTGCGGCGGGCACTCCGTCGGTGCCGGCGGCACAGGGGAAGGTTTCATCCTCTAAATGGGTTCCCTGTCATGTTCAATCATCGTCAGGCGCTGGAGATGCTGCTCCCTGCTTGTCCCGCTGCCCTGCCGAACCTTGCGGTGGGAGCCAGCGTGGCTCCTCAGGGTGCTGGGGCTCTCGGCCTTCTGATTATGGGATCGGGAGGGACACACGGGTACCCGCTGCGGGGCTGGGTGGGGTGGCACCCAGGGTGGCTCACGCCTGGTTCTGTCCCCTCAGGAACCTACTGGACATGGACACCTTCTCCAAGTCTGACCCAGGTGGGTGGCAGGGCCGGGCAGGGGGCACAGTGTGGCACAGCACGGCACGGCAGCCCAGCTCTGCTCCTCTCTCCACAGTGGTGGTCCTCTTCGTGCAGGGCTCAGGGAGCAGCGAGTGGAAGGAGGTGAGCGTAGCCCCTCACACCAGGTCCCTGGGGAAGCTCCCAGCCCCGTGCCGGGGATGCTGCCACCCCCAGTGCCCCCCCCCCCCCCCCCTTCCTGGCTAATCCCTGGCTGGGTTAAACAAGCCCATATGGCCACCCATGTCCACACTAATGATCTCTGAGTCCACGCTAATGATATGGCCCCACCAGCAGCACTAATCCCCCACCAGGATTAGTGTCGGGGCAGCTGTGATGGGGAGGGAGCCAGGGAGGGGGCCCACCTTCACCCCTCTCCCCGCAGTTCGGGCGCACCGAGGTGATTGACAACACCCTGAACCCCGACTTTGTCCGCAAGTTCGTCCTCGACTACTACTTTGAGGAGAAGCAAAACCTCCGCTTTGATGTGTGAGTAGGGAGACCGGGGAAGGGCTCAGCCCCACTCGGGGTGGAACAAAGCATCAAGCTGGTAATAAATAATGATAATAAATAATTATAATAAATAAGGGTACCGCAGTAAAAAGTCAGGACGGGTGGGAAAGCGGGGCTGCATGCCAGGACGCCCCCACGGGCACTGGCTCAGGGCTCTGCTCTCCCACCACCAGCTACAACGTGGACTCCAAGAGCTGCTCCATTTTAAAGCAGGTGAGCACAGCCCGTGCCGGGGGGAGCGCGTGGTGACGCCCCGGTGTGATGCTGCAGTGGGGCACCCCGAGGCTATGCCCTGTGTGGGTGCTGTTTGGGGGGGGGACAGGTGCCCCTCGGAGGGCTCTAACCCGTTCTCCATCTTTCCGTGCCCCATGGGGACTGGCAGAAGGTAGGTGCCCACCACACACCAGCCCCTGCTCTACCCTGGGACCCCGACCCCTCCTGGGGGTGTCTGGTGGGGCAGGGTGCAGGATGGGGCCAGGATACACCGTGGGGGTGGCTTTGGGGGTGCAGGATGGGTGTAAGGTGGCTGAGGGGTGCAGGATGGGTTCAGGGCATGTGGGATGGCTCTGGAGGGATGGGTCTAGGGCGTGTGGGGTGGTTCTGGGGGCACAGGATGAGTCTAGGGCATGTGGAGTGGGCACCTGGGGTGATCTTGGGGGTGCAGGATGGGTCCTGGGCTGGTGGCTGGCTCCTAGGGAACAGGGTGGGCTCAGGACACTTGGGGTGGCCCTGAAGCAAGGTGGTAGCAGGTCCTATGGGTGCAACTGGGAGAACGATGGGTGAGTGTGAGTCATAGGGGGGCTGTGTCAGGAGCTCCTGGAGCCTCACGGCGCTGTGCTCGGGGCACAGGACTTCCTGGGCCAGGCGTTCGTGGCGCTGGGGGAGGTGATCGGGTCCCAGCGGGGCCGCCTGGAGAGAGCCCTCACGTGAGTCATGCCCCATGGCGGGGTGAGGGGGGGGTGTCCCACACCGTGTCCCCAGCCACCACCTGCCCCATGGGAGCCCTCCCTGCATGTCCCTGGCTGGGGACACCAGCCATGCTGCCGAGTGCCAGCCATGGGGCACGAGCCCCAACTCCACCTCCTGTCCCTGTCCCATCCTCCTTGTCCCCAAGCTGACCCAGCACCTCTGGTCCCAAGGGGGGTCCCAGGAAAGCGGTGTGGGACCATCCTGCTGCTGGCCGAGGAGCTGAGCAACTGCCGGGTGAGTGCTAACGTCCCAGCAGCAGCAAGGTGGGAGCCGTGTGGTCCCCCCCGCTTCTTCCCCCAACACGGGTGGGTGCAAGGAGGCAGCTGGTGGTGACAGTCCCCATCCCCAGGACATCGTCACAATGCAGCTGTGTGCCAACAAGCTGGACAAGAAGGATTTCTTCGGAAAATCCGACCCTTTCCTCGTGTTCTACCGCAGCAACGAGGACGGCACGTGAGCGGGGGGGGCCCGGTGGGGCGGGCAGGGTGTTGGCCTCACCCTACGGCGCGCCCCGACCCTGCCCTGTCCCCCCCCGCAGCTTCACCATCTGCCATAAGACGGAGGTGGTGAAGAACACGCTCAACCCGGTGTGGCAGCCCTTCACCATCCCCGTGCGCGCCCTCTGCAACGGCGACTACGACCGGTACGGGGACCGGGGCAGCCGTGGGGCCAGAGCGGGGTGTGAGCATCTCTTCGTGGGTCTGGCCCCGCGGTGGCAGGCAGCTCAGAATTGGGTCCTTATTGGTTTTTTTTTTCCCCTCTTCTGCAACCCAAATTACATAAAGGCATCCCCCCTCCTTTCCAGGGCCCCCACCGTGACCCAAATTTCCTGATTCCCTCCCAGCAGAGACGCAGGCCGGGCAGGCGGGGCGGCTCTGCCAGCAACCGGCGGGCAG